ATGTCGGGGAAGGCCGCCTTGGTGAGTTCAAATATGAGTGCACCAAAGACCGTGAGGAAGGGAGCTGCCCATGTGCGAAAGAATGAAATGATGGGTCGAGCTTTCTGCCAGTCCTTGGTCGGCTTTGGGAGGATGCGCGCTGTGGGCAACGGTGCTTGAAGTCGAAGTCCCCATGCGTATCGTTGACGTAGGAGAGAAGGTATCGTGGTTACCACTTCAGAGCGAAATGATGCTGCGGATTCGCGGCAAAGTGAGAAGACATCCCCCGTGCAGAATGTCTTACGCATCAATATGGCAAACAGGGACGGGCACATCACATGTGCGCGGGAGGGAAAATGATCCGCCGGGATAACTACCCACGAAGACAAAGAAGCCACAGTGCGTTGCAACGATGTCGATGACCAATAAGCCCGATCTTGAAGGTTGATCCGATGAGTGTCTATTAACTGAGTCACAATTGGCTGTAGATCTGAAAGCAGACCGGAACCATATACATGCCAGCGGCGAGCAAGTTTGCGAAGTTGTGTGGCGAAACGTTGATGCAATAAGTCGACATCACCGAAAAACTGATCCTTCATTGAGGCGGCCATGATTTCAATGTTAATGTCCGCATTGATGCGAGAAAACTCATCCACCATTACTGCGTGACCATGTGCACGGTGTAGATGGCTATCATCGATGTCCAAACAGCGACACGGAAAGGATGTGTCAGGCGCCCATTTGCGCTGCCATGTGCGATAGTTGTATATCTTGTCGCCCAATGTGGCGCTGCGAGTTTCCACAACCCGGATCTTTGGAATGAAAAGAGACGGGAACAGATCCCGATGAGAAGCAATCCAGCTTTGTAACCATGTGCCCAGTAGAGCTTTCCAATTCTGGACATGCAGGGGTGGCAAGAGTAGCTGCGTTAAAGTGGTAGGTGGTTGTAGCCGTCGTTTGCGCAGTACCTGGGCGAGGAGCTTCTGGGCCTTGGAGCGGAAGGGCTCGTTGACAAAGACTGCGAGCCGCAATAAGTAGTACAACTGAGTGGGAGGGAAAGCGGCTGACAGTAGGTCACGCATGACTTGGAACGACGCTCCTGTATTCGATCCCAGCTGATAGAGGAGCGAGTAGTGAGCTTGAATGTCATCCAGGGTGTCAGGTCGTAGTTGCCGTTGGAGATCCGGATGTAGTCGTCGTCGAAAGCGCTTGTGCAAGCCGAGGGAAGTGGGAGACGACAACGAGTGGCGACGAAAATCTACAAGATGTTCCCGGAAGCCCACCTTGCGCAAGATTCTGTGTACCCACGGCGCATTCAAATGCGGGCGTAGCAGGTATTGCCATTTGCTTTCTTGAACCCACACCGAGGAAACTGGAAGTTTGATTTCCACTGGTACAGCACAGAAGAGCCAGTAATTATTGGACCGTTTCCAGTAGTGAAGCGCCGGTTCAAAGAAGGCATGCCGTCCACGAATTAGTTGTAGAAATTTGCGACTGCGCGAGTGTTCACGCCGTAGAACATCCTGATCAGTCGCCCCAACATAGTACGGTGTGTGCCATGGGGAAAGTCGAATGTAGACGCATGGTTGTTGGTGATGACCTGGATCATGTATGAAGTCGTAGAGGTCAGGAAATCGTGCCCGCAATGAGCGTAGATGTCGCGTGTCAGCAAAAGTTGAGTGCATGATTTCACACAAGAGAGAAGTCTTGTAGAAGTGAAGGACTTCGAAGAACGGCGGGAAGTAGCCGTGATCCTGCGAAATGAGACGTTGTAAGAAACTGATCAATAAATATGCAGCGCACCGACATCTGTGAATTTCGTACCTGTTGGCCACGGTGTGCTGAGAGCTGGACATAGCGCAATTCGGAATCTGGAGGGCGATCCGGACCACAACTAAGACCTCGATGATGAGACCCAGCCACGGCAATTGCGTGATGGATTCGTACTCCTCAATTGGAATCGACGGTGGTGGTATTCCAGGGAAGCAGTAATGCCAGCACGTCGAGAATATGGTCAACGAGCGCAGAAGGTCTTCCAGCGACTGCCATTGTGCAACATCATCATAGATTCCGCAGTGGCGAAGTTCATCCAACATGGTGAGATGCAACCAACGGAATCTACCACAAGGCGGCGACATGAATACAAGCATCACAGACAATCACACAAGAGGCAATGCAAGAACAAGCAAGTACAAGATCAATCATGTGCAACGCAAACACTTGACGGACGAGTTTTCACCTGGACTCATCCGTGACATTGTTGCCGCTCCGGGCTCATATGAGAACGAAGGTCGTCATGATGCCTTCTCATCCACAGAGCAGGCGAGCGGTCACGATGAGGTGACTCAATGCCTTCTCAGTGAGTTTGGTGAGGTACCCGGGTTCAAGACCCCATGATGCTGCCATTGCACCGAGTGTGGGCGCATCGCCCTTCGGCATGCGTTGCCTGGCCTGAAGAAGCTGCGCCGCCATAGAATCTAATGACTTGTTGCCGTTGAGCCGGGACGGGTGATTGGCCCACTTAACCAGCGATGCCAAAGTGGTTGTGGTGGGTGCTTGCTTGAGGAAAAGGCGAGGTTGGTCACTGGTCCATGTGTAGTACTTGACAACTTCATCCGGCGTGCTGTGCATGGTGAGCAATTGTGACGCCGCCGGTTTGGACGGTGGTGACGACACTCCGTGAAGAGACTGCATGATCCGAGGTTGCACCACGCTATCAAACGACTTGCCATCCAGGGCGGCAGCGCTGGCTGTGGGAAGGGAGCTGGCAGGTGAAGAGGATGGTGTGTGGTTGACCGGTGGCGGTGTAACCAACTCTGCATCATCTTTCTGGTTTGTCATCGTGGGCGAGGTCGATGCGCGAAGTGATGCAGAATACTGAGCTTGGAGAAGTTCATGTGCACGATTCAAATCATTGAACTTCTTGACCATGTCATCGGTCTGGGCGGCAGGTGCGAGAGAGGTGTGATGTTGTTGAAGAAATTGAAGTACCAGGTTGGCCAAATGGTCGTGGACCTTGATGCGCTGATTGAAGTCATCAATGTTGAGACCCAGCGTGTTGGCAAGGTCCTTTTCCAGGGTGAGCAGGTTGAGTGACTGCGATCTTCGTAGTAATTTGGAGCAGGTACTCCAAAGTAAGGCCTCAGTGCGGGTGCGAAATCCTTCCCACGTCACGAATCGGCCGTGTGCAAACGGCCTGAGTAGCCAGTTGGTGAGGCCCCCGTGGATAACCTGAACCAGGCGTACGTCTCTAATATCCATGCCTGACATGTCGCGAAGGTTGCCATGTGGAGTGTTGGCAACAGTCATGGGCAGGCTGAAGTTGTAGAGTTGGTTGACATCAAACATGCCGTCTCCAGGTGTCCAGTCAGGCGAGGGAGTAAGCCAGGCTTTCTGAGGACGAACCGGTAGAGCTGCAGGAGGTCCAGGTGAAGGTGTGGGTTGGGAAGTAGTGATCGGTGGTGGCATCACTGGTGGCATGAACTTGGATGGCGTGGGATCAGGAGGAATCGGCATCATGTAGTTGATCGCCGGGTATTGGAATTGCTGTGTGGGATTGTGAGTCGATTGAAAATTGGTAGGCACCATCGGAAAGTTGTTAGCAGCGTTGTAGCCGGAGTTGTGTTGCCATGAAACCAAGTTGTTCCAATCCATGTTCTCCGAGGCCTGGTTGTCATTGTGCTCACGTCGGCGTGCTTTGTGAGCTTGAGGGGACGGACTCCGATCACGTCTACGTCGAGTCCTGGATCTATCACGATCATCACGCCGAGACATGGTGACGCAACTGAATCCGAATTTGCGCACTTCCACCTTGAGAGAATCAGACCCGACAACATGCAAAGCAATGGAAATGCAAGTTCGCGGCCCTCAACTGCAATGGTCGAGCGAAATGTACAAGGCAAAGCAAATACAAGTCAGCAATCGACAACCGCAGTGATACGAACAACAAGTTCAACCAATAATCAAAGTATGCAATGAAAATCGTCAGCTACCAACTGTGGTGAGACGTCGCTATGATCTGACGGCTTTCTTCCCTTTAGTGAAACCTCGTTCCTGGTTAAATGTGAAATTCCGCTGTTCTATGATACGCACGTTGAGGTCAAATTTTCCGACAGAGCCGGCCCGGGGTCACACAATGGGTACACCCGAGGATTCCCCACGAATGGGGTGTACACACTTAAACTCCAGATGGAGAGTGCTAATCTTTCGAGTACAACTGATGAGTCTCGAGTACAACTGATGAGTCTCGAGTGGGTGGGATTCGGCTTGCAATACACTCGGTTTCACTCTAGTGTCGAAAACGTTACCCGAAAGAACAAGAAGCACAAACAGCGCCGCAACCAAGGGGGCCAAAAGGACGTTGCATCACGGCAGGTACGTCAGTCCAGCGTCCTGGACTGATTTCACGATCCAATGGTGCGGTCTTCGTTGGGCGATGCACACCAAAGGAACCATCGCCCCCCTGCCCCTGCTGCTACGGAAACTGTTGTGGTGGCAGGGTTTTCTGCCACTCCGCACACACACACACACACGCACTCATATTGGGGGTTTGATTCCAATCATATCTTTTCAACCATGGTTCTTTTCACAAACCGGATCCGTTTTCGGTGGGTTTCTGGAGGTCTTCTAGAAAGATCCGCATCCCTGGAAATGGAAATGGAAGGTGTCCCTAGACTATTTTCCCGCGTGTGGTGGTTTTCAGACCGACGAAAACTCAGAATTTTAGGCCCTGGGTCACGGTCCCTAAGGAACTTCCTGCAAAGCTAGCTCTGGGCGGGAAACCTCTTTAAACCGCACTTTGGAGCCTAGTCCATATTCAACGGACCCTGCGTGGTTCTGGTGGACTTGCCCAGTGACGCCTTTTTTTTCCTTTTTGGGCAGAGTTCCCCGTTAAACTCAACCAACAAAAAAAGGGATGCCCATTTTCCCCATGGAGATCCACTGGGCATCTGAGTTAACCCCCAACCCACCGAGCTCCGACTCACTCCGCTGGTCACCGCTCGCCCCAAACCGATGCTCAGGAAGTCGTGGTGCTGTGCGCGGTGCTGTGCACCGTGGTGGTGATCCCTTGCGTAGCTGTGCCTTGGCGTTTGATGGAAGTCTCACTTCCGTTGGAGTTCCTGGACTTTAGTCACTTTGGAACCACCTCAACAGTCATTCCCACCGAATTCTGGTGTGCGCCATGGCGTTTGATGGAAGTCTCACTTCCGTTGGAGTTCGGGACTTTCTTGTGAGCTCCCAAATTGGTGCCTTCGATTTCCGGGTCTTGTTTTGGAGGAAAAAGCCATCTTCGCCTCTTGCCATTTGAGCTCAGGAAACAGCTGGGTTAAAACCTCTCGAATCAAACCTCTCGAATCAAATCCCAACCAAAAGGTTGTTCCTGGGCTTTTGTCACTTGAGCCACGTGCTCAAAGCCAAAACCGATTCGGGTAGATGAAGGTTAGTATGGGACAATTCTAACCATAAATAGCTGCGGATATCCGGCTTCTTAATTCTAGACCTGGTTTTGGGTCGACCATTTTAATACCCGGTTTTGACTATGACTCACTTTGGAACCACCTCGACAGTCATTCCCACCGAGCTCTGAAGTACACCATGGCGTTTGATGGAAGATCCCAAAGTCACGTTCCGCGCCCCCCTTGCTGGATTTCGCCCCGCCGACCTGTGCCCCTTCGGGTAACAACTGCCAAACTGAGAATCCCGTACCTGGAAAGGCGATCCCAAACAAAACCCATTGACTTTTTGTTCTGCTGAAATGGCTAGAAAGGTTGTCTAGGCGTTGCTATCCTTAAAGCAGGTAGAACCATCTCATCCATTCGCCAATCGGATCCGCGCATGAGGCTTAGCCTTGAACTCACCGCTTGAGCTTCCAAACGGGGAGGGTTTTCAACATGATAGACCCTGTTTGGATTGTTTTCAAGGGAATCCACAAGGGAACAACCCATTCTAGGCGACCACGGTATTGAGAAACAGACAAACCGCTGTTTGAGCATGCGCCAAAATAGGGGAGCCCTATGACGAGATACTGTTGGTTGCCATTGACAGCACCAAAACCAGTACCAACCATATTGGGGGGTGTCTTAAACAAGTGGAACTCCTAAAATGGGTTTGCTTTGGGCTTCCCTTTGAACCAGCCCCGAAAACGACTTCCCCGAAACACACACACACAGACACGCAGACACACAGACACACAGCCACAAAGACACACAGACACACAGACACGCAAACGCACAGACACACAGACATAGAGACACAGAAACACAGAGACACACACACACACACACAAACACCACGCACTCACGCACGCACTCACTCCCTCCCTCGCTCGCTCGCTCGCTCACTCACTCACTGACTCACACAAGAACAACTTTCATTTGGAAGGGTAGTGTTCATTTTCCCCTGTTGGTTTGAAAGGAATCTATCACTACTGGAAATATGACTGAAGCAAATGAAGGACACGAGATGGAGCAACGGCCTGCACCCCAGTACTTGATGCTGCCTTTGCAGCTCTGTGCGTTGTCCACCCCCCACTGTCAGAAAAGGAAGCGTGAGGCACACAATATGGTGCTGTGATGGTGCAGGGTTTGTCCTTTCGTATGGCCATGAATCTTCACAGGAATCCCTCTTCAATCAGCTCCCTTCATGAAACCTGGTGGGTGGAGTCAACAGCTGTTGGCTGCATGTCTTAATTCATGTTCAGCATTCGAGAGAATGACTGGTGGACAAGAATCATGTACTTGCTTGCCCAAAGCGAATCGACCTTTCGACCTTTTGGTGTCCCAAAGTTGGTCCCACCGGTCCCAAAAGGTGTTTGATTTTCTGGGTCCGTTGGGCAAGTGAGATTATGTAATGTCCCCCAAGGGTCCTCCACTTGGCCCACTTGAAGTTCAGACCAATCCAACAGGGTAGCCTTTCTCAGCCAGTACCTTAGTGATACAAAGGGGCCAAAAGCTTTTGCAACCTGACCATCTTGGAAGACGCAAGCACCATCTAAAGCTTCTAGGGGTAACTTCCGACCATTCTTTCCAGTTCTTCTTGGAAAATAACCAGCAACCCGCAGAGACACCTCGGACTGCTCTCTGGGGGATTTTTTCGCAAGTATTTCTTTCGTATGGGGTAGACGAAACGTTGAACATACGCCGAGCTTGTTGTTTTTTGTACCCCGAGCCACGTCCTCAAAACCAATTCGGGTAGATGAAGGTTGTAGCAAGGGGCAGTCCCAGTCAGACATCGTCGCAGATATCTGCCTTTTGATTTGCTTACATGGGTGTGGCTAGACCATTTTGATACCGATCGGTTTTGACTGTGACTCAATTACCTCAGTGTTTCAGGTGCAGGGTCCTTGTTTGTCATTATGTTCCACTGGTCTTTGGTGCGACCTTAGCCCCCCTGAGCCCAGTTCTCTCGTCCGAAGCGCTGAGTTGGTGTGCTACCGGGACATCTACGACTACCGGCAACTGCAACACCTGCGAAACCAGCTGGTGGACAGCTGTAGGCGTGCATCAGTCAGCGGAAAGGTGGGCCTTTTCTTGGGGGCTGTTGGGTGTGTCTGTTTGTTGAGGGTTCCCTTTTTCCCTGGTTTTTTGTCTTGTTTTTTTTTTTTTGGGGGGGGGGGGGGTTAAATGAAGAGAGGTACTGCAGTTTGTCGTGTTTCTTTTTTTGGGGGGGGGGGGTTAAAGGAACAGCAACAGGAAAACAGCCGTTTTGGAGGAAAAACGCAATTTCGGCGGTTCCCTATTTTAAGACACCCCCCTTTGGCCATGAATCTTAAGAGGTGGAACCACCTCAAAGTGGTTCCCACCGAATTCTGATGTCCACCAATTGGGGTCCCCTATTGAATTTCACACCCATTCTCACTTCCTGAGTTCTGGGACTTTCCACTTTTTGTGGTTTGGACCATTTTAGTGGCAACCAAAAGCTTAGACTTTTCTGGCCAGTCCTTCCACTTAGGAAGTGAGCATTTGGGGACACAGTGGCCCGTATGCGACCTACAGGACTGAAGTTCATTGATTTGGGCGCTTCAGAATGCGGGGTTGAGTCAACATAGTCCATGGTGCGCAAGACAAATTCGCCCACTTGGCAGTTCCCAGGCATCCTGTTCCTTAGGCGGTTTGGGTTTTTAGTTGGCTAGTGGTCGGGTTTCGGAACTTAAGCCACAAGTTAGGCCCACCTTGAGCAGATCGGAAAACGGACGGCCTGGGCTTCTTCTTTTTTTCGGCCACTGATCAGCCCAGACATTTATTGTTTTTCGGCCTCTCAAAGCAGCGCGTTGGGCTCTGAGCTTCCGAACCTGAAAGGATGTCCACTGAAGAGCACCAAGGAGCACGGGGGAAACGGAGTTCCTCACTCCCTATCGAGTTCCGTTTCGGACTCTAGGCTTTTTTGGGTTTGGTTGCCATTTTAGTTGTAAATTGAATTCGTTTGGTCACTTGTTCTAGCCAATCCACTCAGGAAGTGAGCGGCTAGCTGGTTGAAAATGAGGGGTCGAAAGCATAGGGGCAGAAGATTCCTACCTAGGAACCCATCCAGGTTGGCATGCGATGAACTTCAAAAGATGGCTCGTCATGTCTTCAGTACCATAGGTGTCCTTTTAAAGGTTGTTTTGGTAAAAAAATAGATGGCGATTCCTGGTTTACCTGGTGGTTTTTGCTCATCTACCAGGGAAACCCATCTATTTCCCCTAAAAGGACACCTATGTTCAGCACTTGCTTTGCAAGTGGACTCCTTCGTGGACCTAAAGCCATCTTCCAGGTCTCAGGTTTGGCCGTTGGGCCCATGCCAGCTCACTTCCAGGAAAAAGCCCTCGTTTTGCCTGTGTTTTTTTCGGGTTTTTTCTCCGAGCGAGTACCCTTTTTGTGGGGGCCATGTTTGGGGTTGACACCTTTTAGGTCTTCCCGAAATTCCGCAAGCTTCCTTGGGCCTTCGGAAGGGAGACAGCTTGCGAAAACCAAGGGAAATCCCATGTCCTTCTGACTGGTGCGTTCGATTGGACATAGTTGGGTTCCACTGGTTTAGATTGGTTTCATGCCATACCAGGGAAACCCATCGGTTTCTTGGCTAAAAGGACACCTATGCCCACTAGCTTTGGCCTCAACCCCAAAGATGATCACCTTTGTTTTTTGGATGTGTGCACCCGTACGAGCAACTCCAGCGAAGCAAAGGGTTTCCTTGGTCAGCTTGGTTCAGTTTCAAACCTTGGCTTTCAACCTCTTTCGAAGCCGTCGAAGGCTTCGCTCGTAGGGGTAATGTTGAGATGGCAGAACAAAACCTTACCTCTTAAAAACACCACTGTTCAACTTTTTGGGGTTAACATGGGCTATATGTCTGTAAAAGATTAACTTCCCCAGGGCTTGGAGTTTTGAGGGGTAAGAAACACAAGCAACTTGAGCTCAGTTGCAAAGCGAATCGAGATCTGCCCGGATCTGCTTTTCCCCTTTTTGGCCACCATTTTTCGTCATGGCTCCACAAGGTTGACCTGTTATTTGTAGGTTCTTTGGGGCAACTGAGTTCGGGTTTACACACTTCGTCCATTGATCCCCCCGGAAAAAAAAAGGGGAACAAAAACAGGAAAAAAGAGGGGGACAAAAAAGGCTCCGCGCTTGACTTTGAGCAGGTGTGAAGCCGTCTATCAACGTCCCTGAGCTGCAGCTGTGAACCCGTTGCGGAAGGGTTCCCCTGTAAAGTCAACCAACTGAGCATCTGAGGGACAACCACGGATTTATTTTTCCTGAGGGAAGTTTCTTTTTTGCATGGAAATCCACTGGGCATCTGAGGGAAGGGAGCTTCCCAAAGCAATCCGAAGCTGGGAGGGCTTGATCAAGCCGAAAGCTTTCCGTTTGGGGAAGCACTTTCCCAGTAGATCCAAACATGGTTGTTGTTGGGAAACAGTTTTTCCATTTTTTGCTTATTGTGGTTTAGTGGTTGAAATCCAACCACTTAACTGATAAAATTTAAATTTGTGCTCCCCTTCCAACGTCAACCAAGCAAAGCAAGCCACTACAGTAGGTGAATTAACTCGCCATGGTTTCCAGCGCACTCCGCCCCAAACCAACCGGTTTGATTTCGGTTTCCAAAGATGGCAATTGGTTTTTAAAGGGTGGTTCCGTTGGTTACCTGCTATACAGGAAAATGGAGTCACTGGGTTCCAGTGTCGGAAGGAGAAATGGTAACTTTGGGATGCAGAGAAGATTCGCATGCCACCTGTGCAGGGATGACAACCGATCAAGACCCATGTGTTTCCAGGATTTTGGGGTGACATCAGGGGCAACCCAAAAATGCGCACCTCACGCAGTGTTGCCAGCAGTAAGGCTCACTTGCCCACAGTGAATCGACCCGGATCTGACCGTTTGGCTTTCCCCTTGTTTTGGCACCCATTTTACGTGGTAAACTCTTAAAGCCAGCTCTAAAATACTGAGAAACACTTAAAGACCGCCTGCAGAAACCCACCCTCCCAACCTCCCAACAGGCCTCCCCTTGTGTTTCAGTGGCCGAAGGTGATCACCTTTTGGGTCTCATCCACGGCTGGAAAGCTTGCAAGGCTTCGTCTGCGCACGTCGAAAGCGCGTCGTCGAAAGCGCGTCGAGATCTTGTCGTCTGTGCAGGAAGAGCCCTCGAACCTGCTGACCCTTGCTTGCACCTTGCCGGTCTGCAAGCGAGCTCTTGCAGCCACGCTTGTGGGACACATGCGGGAAAGCCACGGGAAGTTTTCGGGCGGCTTGAAGACAGACCCACGGCTCGTTGCGCTCTACGGCGGATCAGATTGCTGAGACTTACCGGTCTTTTGCCGGGGCCTGCCTTGCTTGGCGCCTTCCCGGTCTTTGTCAAGGGCCTTGTTCTGGCCTTTTCCACTCTCTTTTTTTTTGCTGGGGCCTTTCCCGGCGTTCCAGGTCTTTCACCCGCGGCCTTCCCGGTCTTTCACCGGAGGCCTTCCCGGTCTTTGCTCGGCATCTTCCGACGTTCCCAGACGCAGCTGCGCGGCCACGCCGCTATGAGGGAACACTCCTCCCATACAAGAGCGCGCTGCTGGACGGGGCGCCAGTGTGGCAAACGCATTGCATCTGCAAGCTCTTGCTTGTGGAGCTGGAACCGGTGGCAGGCGCAGTACTTTGGGGGTGCATGTGCGCAGATGACTCGCTTCTAGTGTGCGCAGATGACTCGCTTCAGATGACTCGCTTTTGGCCTGCGCGGGTGACGCGTTTCCCGGCGGGGGGTGGTTTGAAGGGCAACCAACAAGATATTTCGCCCCACCCCCTTTTTTCCCCCACACACACATGTTTACGTTGGACCGTCTTGCGGCTTCGGCCCCTCCCAGGGAACCAGCCTAGGGTTCGATACACAATATGTGCCTAGAGTCTGAGTATCACATTGAGCTCGGAAAGGGAGGAATGTCGATTCGGCTTGCTCCTTTGGCCAAACTGGTTGGTCTTATGCTTCTCTTCGTGGACCAATTATGTGAAGACCAACTTTCCAAAGGACCTGGCAGACTTGGTGTCGTTCGGTTTGCCAATCACTTCTTGGTTCCTTTGGTGTTCCTTGGCTCCTCCCTTTGACCAGGTCACACCACCAAGGCAGGGATCGATGTCGTTGGGTTGGCGCCCGTAAGGGAGTGGGATGATACCGAACGGGGAAATGGAAATTCGGTGACCCTGGTTGGTGATGGTTTGCACAAACTTCGCGGACAAGAAACACCAGGGCTAAAAGACCATTCCGAGTTCGGAGTGGGTAAGTGATGTTTGGAGGTACTCTTTTGCTCGGGTCTTTGGCCACATGTTCTCAGTTCCTGAGTTTCTCTGACCACTTCCGTGGCCAATCAAAAGTGTTGTTACTGTTTTTATTTGTTGGTTGCTCCACTCAGGAAAGTAGTGTTGGTCCAGTTTTGTTCTGTCCTTTTTGGTTACCAGTCCCCTTTAGGCGAATTTAGCCAACTACAAGTTAGTCACTTTTAGCAGGGGATCTGAGAACGGACAGCCCTGTTTTGGCGAGATTGCATTCTTGCGTTTTATGCAGAGTGTAAGGCTGAAAAGCAAATTGTCTCTGGATGTACACCTGAAAAATCAAAGCTGCCTCCAAAGCGAATCGCCCTTTCCACCTTTTGGTTTCCCCAGTTTGGCCCATTGTTAGTCATGGCAACCCAGAATGTGATCGGCTTTTAGTTCGTGGTCCCCTTCGGGGCAACTGAGAAAACGAAGCTTTATTTTGCACATGAAGGTAAATGAAAAGTAGGGGCCCTTTTCTCACTTCCTGAGTTCATCATGGACTTAGCACTTTTCGACAAGACCATTTAGTGGGTCCAGGACTTTTTTTGGAGCAATCCACTCGTTGGGAAGGGAGTTTGTGGTATAAGGGCTGCACAGAGCGGCGCCCCGCATATTTCGCTCGAAAAGCCGCCGCGCCCATGGGCTCTTCATTCGAGGCCCAAGTTTCTCGCGCCGCGATGCCAGGCCGCAAGGCTCTCGATGTTCGAAACTTGGCAAAGCGGGCTGAATTTGTAGGACACGGTGGCCTAAGGCTCCAAAGAATGGTTGGTCATTACCCAAAATACAGGGGTCGTGGACCCATTTTTGAAGGGTCATGGAGACTTCAGGTCCTTGGATTGGTCAACAAACCAGCTTATTACATTTGGGGGTTGCTTCTCCCTGGGTGAAATGTGGAGAATGAGACCACTTTTGGCGGGGAACATTTTCATATGAATAAACAGGGGTTTATTAATATGGGGTCAACATGGTGTCATCAAATCGATGTTTTTTGGGCCCTCAGAATGGGTTGTTTTCAAGGGCTGAGGAATTGGTTCGGGTTCTTGGAGGGCCCATGAGAGGGGCCATTGGAGGCTCCGGTCATGAGCCTTGTGGCCACACGTGAGTTCCTGGACTGTATTTTTGTTTATTGGTAAACCCTTGTAGCGGTAAAAGGAGCTTGGACTTTGTTGGGCCATCTACTTGTCCAGTCTAGGTTAGGTTGTTTAGACATGGATGGGTTCCACTGGTTTAGAGTTATGTTTATGCCCCATCTACCAAACCCATTTGCCTTTGTTTCTTCCAAAACATCACCTATGGGCAGGAGAAGGTTGGATGATTAGTGGTATGTTTTGGGTTTGCGAACTGTTCGGATTTGAGACTGAGCAATATCCGCAACCAGTTTCCTAGCGGAAACCCAGCTTTGACATCAAGCAGGAATGCATAATGAGACAGACACATGTGGGTGTGTTCGGAAATCGGACACTTTAAACTACTGGTTGGCTGATGTGTATCAAATTTAAACTTCCTGTGGGAAGGGGACCAGGGTTCCACTTTGTGACTATTTACGGAAACCACTTTCTTTTTGTTTGGGGGGGGGTCCCCTAGAAAAGACGCACCCATGTGCTCCCCCCCAGAAGGGTCCTGACTTCTTGTTGATCAAGAGGGGGGAAGAGACTTGGGAAGCAGGGGCTTGGCGTGCCTAAGAGTGGGGGTGGGAACATGGTTGTTGGGAAGCATTTTCCCATTTTTGCGCAAATTGTGGTTTAGTGGTTGAAATCCAAATCCACTTAACTGCTAAAATTTAAATTGTTGCTCCCCTTTCAACGTCAACCAAGGGAAGAGGATGTAGTGTTACCCCCGGATTTGTCAACCCCAGCTTTTCAATCGGATGTCGCCCAGTGGGGAATCATCACTGGAGGGAACACCACCCTGTTAGTAGGACGGGTTTATTAGTATCCTGGGTCAACATGACTTTGTTTACCGTAACTGGCTGCATTCAGCTTATTGAAAAAGGATATTGTGGTGCCACCCTATACTCTACTGCTATTGGGTTGGATCTTTAGACTTTAACTTTTTGGATTCCCCTCGTATTTCCTTTTACCCAGCAAGAAGTTTAACTTTTTGCTAGGGGATCTACAGCACCCAAGTATATGTATATATATATATACATATATCGAACATGAAAAGAGTAAGCCAAGGGAAAAGGTCACTTGTTCACGCCCTTCATATAAGCCTCAAGTGGTTTAGGCATCCCGCATGTGTGAATGTAGAATGTCCTCACTTACTGAGTTGATGGCCTTTAAACTTTTTGGCAAGGCCATTTTAGTGGTACATAAACAAGTGTGGACTTTTCTGGCCAATTCACCCAGGGAGTGAGTGCCAGTCACCATGTCGGGGTTAGGGTAACTCTTCCCATTTTGTGGGACATATAATAATATTTTTAGTGGTTTGCCCCAATGGACATCCCATGTAAAGGACCTTGGATCAACCCCCATACCTTCCCCAGAATTAGCTCCCCCTTTTCCTTTTTTGCTTTTTTGGGGTTCCCCTTTGTTTTCCACTAACCAGACAAAAAACAAATATATTTTTGCTGGGGTCCGATTTTTCCAGCCAAGATACATGGCTTCATCTTGTTTGGGTACCGAATTTCAGTTGAACACCAGGCCAATCCCATGGACCATTTAGAGACCCAGGATTGCAAAAACCTCAGTTGTTGAGTGGCACCGAGTCTCTTTTTCCCACCTGTTTTTGGTGGCGGCCCCACCAAAATAGTCCAAGCCCCAAAAAAGGGTTCCCTTTTTTTTCCAGGGTCACTGAACAACTGAGGCACAGGCTGTTGGTGGATGGGGCTTGGTTTTGATGGGAAACCATGACCCGCAAGGCAACGGAGATGGTCAGTTCCCACCGCCTTAGTCAAAGTTTGAAGGGGGCACTTGACTTCCAAGGGAATCCCTTTTGATCGGTTTGCCTTGAAATAGATGGCACCCACTGGTTTAGATTGGTGTTATGCCATCCATTTACCGCGGAAACCCATCGATTTGTCCAAAAGATCACCTATGGACAAGGGGGGGTTCCCAAAACTCGCCAACGCCCAACGCGAATCGGCCGCTTCTGACCTTTGGGTTTGCCTTTGTGGTCCATTGGTCTATTTTCACGAAGTTTGTTTTGCGTGTTTGGTACCTAAGAAGCAACTGAGAAAAGGCGACCGCTTTTGTCAAGCCTCGGCCGTCCATTGCCCGAACTCATGGGTTTTGTGTGTTCCCGTTTCGGGAAGGCCCTTTGTAGTGGCGTTGCCAAAAAGTGTTTGACTTGTTCTGGCCAATCCGCTCGATCGGACCTGCGCAAAGCCCGCCAATGTTGTATAATAAGTGACCCCTGTATGTTCACTACTAGGTCTACTTAGATTAATAGATTGGGTCACCACCTACTAAATTATGTCACATCACTTAATAAGTTAGGTCAATGTGGTTAATAAGCTACCTCCAAAACCGCAGACAATCGAAAACCTCCTTTACCATCTGTTTCGCCATCTTATTTCGTGGTGCATCCAGACTTTTGTTTTCTTTTTTGGGGGATTGTTTAAAGGGTATTTTTTTCATTTGGTACAGACATACCCAAGCCAGGGGTTTGGGGCAAACTTGCCATGGTCAAGAAACGCTTTTGTGAGTGTTGGGGGGTTCGGCCCTAAGGTTTCTCGAGAAACGTGTCTAAGGAGTCTCAGTTGTTCAGTGGCTCCCTTTTTCCCCTTTGTTTTGGTGGCTGCCCCACTAAAATGGTCTTCCCAAAAAAGGGTTCCCTTTTTTTCCAGGGTCACTGAACAACTGAGGAGTGTGCCAAGTGCCAACGACACGTCCCGCCCTCGGCAGTTCTCAGTCCCGACGCCGCGCCATGTGAATCTCACTTCGCGATCCGACGAGCTCTGTTTCGGACTTCAGTCACTTTTGGGGTTTCTACCATTTGGTGGTAACCAAAAAGTCTAGTTACTTGTTTTGGCCTGTCCACTGAATTCTATGATGATCGTTCATTTGTGGACATTAATAGGTGTATTCTCGCCTTTTGGTTTGTTGGTTTAAAAGGGCATTTGTTGTTTTGTACTTTTACCCAGAAACCTTAAGCAAATGGCGGTTTGGGGTGCATTGTAACACCGGGGCTTGACTCAACTGAGACGCCTATTTCGCGAAACGAGCTGAAGTACCCATGGTCTCCCTGGCCGGTGGTTGGAAGCGAGCCGTTCCGGAGCTATCCCAATTTGCCTCGGAGCTGTTGGGAGCTACCAGAAGTTCTGGTTGACTCATGATAGCCCCAAAACAGTAATTTACCTCCCAAAAAAAACACACGCAGGTGAAGAAGCTGGTTTGAGTCATACTCAATACCCGGCATTCAAATGGTGTACTCAGCCCTGCTTCGAGAATGGACAAGGTGGATATTTGCGCCCATGTTGGGTGTCCCTTCTCCAGTTTCCCGGGTTGTGATTGTAACTCACATCATTTTGGGGTGCTTCTAACGAGCATTGTTTTTCAGATCAAAAGTTCGACCGCGGCCGAAGCATGTACCATTGCCCTGCAGTTGTTGCTTTCAAGCAGGGCCCCCTTTGTTTGTTTGCCTTTTGTTGGAGTTTTTCCCCCGTTGCCAGCAGGGCACGGGGCAACTGGGTCTTACCAAAAATAGAGAACCCACAAGGGGCACCCACAAGATGGTTAGTCCTTGTTTCCATTTACCAACGTGCCATTTGCAGCATGTTTTTTTTGTTTGCCACAGCCACTTAACAAAGCAGTTGACAGCCATCAGAATAGCGGTGTTCCTTGTTCCTTTCTGTACAAGCCTACCGAGCATCAAACAGATGGACGAGCTAAGGTGGTCTCAACATAGAGCCCCAAACATTGTCTCAGTTGTTCAGTGGCTCCAATTATTTTTCCAACTTTTTTTGGTGGCTGCCCCACTAAAATGGCCCAAGCCCCAAAAAAGGGTTCCCTTTTTTTCCAGGGTCGCTGCACAACTGAGTTGCCTTTTTGCTTGTCCTGTACCGCAAAAAAGGTACCGAGCCTCCGACCAATGAACATGGAGCCTGAAGGTTGGGGGGTCCAAACCGGTTTGGACCGTCTTCCCTCTTCAGGGGACCCGCGAAAGATCAAAAAAAGGAACGACCATTCGGTGAAGAAGCTGCAGCAGGACTTGTGTGGCTTTTCCCTTCTGTACAACCCTTCAAAAGAGGGGTACTTCTAGCCTCCAAAAGGCAAAGCCTACTTTGCGGCATTTTGCTTGGGATGTTAGGACTTTGGTTTGTTTGCCAACTAATGGGTTTTCCATTAAACCACTAAAAGCTAAACTTTTAGTAGGGGTGCAGAAAGCAACCGAGTTGAGCTTGTTGTGTGTAACTTGACCAAGTTAGCATTGAGTTTACCACATGCACCTTTCTCTGACAGTCAGTGCGGAGCTTGTCGAGGGCGCAGATCAAAGGTGAAGAGCGCCTGAACTGTTTGCGATTTTGGGTTTATTGTAGTACCAGGGCTTGACTCAACTAAGACGCCTATTTGGCAAAACGAACCTAAGTGAAGATGAAGAAGGACACTTGTGGTGTTTCCTTTTGTTTGTATTTTCCCTGTCTAACCCTTCAAAAGCGACCAAGCCTCAAAAAAGCAACGCCTTACCTTGGTGGCTCCCAGCCATCCCCTTGGCTTTTGAGGCTTTTAGTGTTTAGTGGTAGTTTCCATTTAACCCACTAAGAGTTAAACTTTAGCGGGGGAGCAGAAAGCAACCGAGAGTAGGAAACCAGGTGGAACCCCCCCCCCCCGGCCCACCCCCCGTCCCCCCAAGAAGTTCAAACTGGATTACACATCTCATTTAGGACGTTTATAATCCTTCTCAAGTGTACCAGCCTCACAAAACCAAGCCTAGGCACGGCAAAGGGAAGGACGAAGCGGTGAAGATGAAGAAGGACACTACTAAAATTCACATATCAGAAAAAAGAAACGGTACCCTTATTCTAACCTCTCTGGAGGACCTAGGTGGGTGTGGGTCAAGAATAGGTACCCCAAATGGGACCCTGGCAAATGCCAACAGAGACTAAAACCTGCGGTCTGGTGGTTTAATTTTGACTCATGCCCAGGTGTACTAGCTTCAAGCAAAGCTCAGGTGAAGAAGGTGAACTTCTACTTCTGGCGCTGCGAGCGCTGCAGCGCTCGCCAGCGCTGCGGCCAGGGTTTGGAGCTGTGCTTCCGTTGCACCCAGGATCGGGGTGCGACCGAACTGGCGAGCAGTTCTTTGTTGGGGGCCATTTGGGCATGAGTCAAAATTAAACCACCAGGGGACCGCAGGTTTTAGTCTGCATTTGCCAGGGTCCCGTTTGGGGTACCTATTTTTGACCCACACCCAGTTGCCGAAAAAATATGCTTGATTTCCCTCCCGTTGGTTTTAACACTTGGACTTTTGGAAATGGTTTCCTTTTACGGGGACTGAACTCACTTCCAAGGAGTTCCTGGACTTCAGACATTTTTAGCAAAACCATTTCGTGGCCAATACGCAATGTGGTTCCTGGTATTGGTCCCGCTGGTTCTTCCGCCTGCTTTTACAATCAGTTTTTAAGGGGCTAACAAATTACATTACCAATTTCAGGCCCTCTTAGGACCTGGTCTCACAGGGATTACAGGTGTCACCCTATGACTATACATAAACCAAAAAAAAAGAATCTGCAGTATGGCTAAATAATGATCCGACTGACCGTTTTAGAAGGTAACGAGCTCTTTTCTGATCCCAGTTGCCTGTATCACAATATTGTTTGGCGGGCAGGTTCGAAGACGTCAGTGTTACATTATCTTGTTGGGTTTCAGTGGTGGGTTAGGCTTGGGGCGAAGACCCTGTTCATTCTTCTGAAAGGGGCCCAAGGGCTGTTTATTCACACGCTGGTTGGTTTGGAGGTACAAGAACCAGCGGTTCAAATCCCCTCCGGGTTCAAGTCGCCTTTAGCCGCCTTTCGGGCTTGGGCCGTTTGAGTGGTAAACGAGAAAATTGGTTACTTTTTCTGGACCATCAACTCCGGCCTTTTAGAAGTAGAAAAAGAAAAAAAAGTGTATTCAGCCATGCAATACATTCCCTCAAGTAAGGCAGGCCGTTGCCCGGCATACATTAAATGCCTTCAATTTTTGTGTTGTGAAAAAGCAACAACCAAGAAATGTGTGTGTGTGTGCTTGAGCATGGCTTCTGCGAGTATTTTTTCTCGCAATACTTACGGCGACAGAACTTCAACCAGACTCCGCTGTGGACAGCTCCATGGCACAAAGCTTTGCCTGGACTTCCTGCATCTCAGCAAAGGGCAGAGATGGCTTGGAGACAGCTGAAGTCATTTCTGAGGCGACACATCCGCACGCACCTTGATCTGGTGGATGCGATTGAGCGCGCAGTGCGCTGGGCCTCGCGCCCGAGGGCTGCACCCGATGGCGGAATGCAGACGTATTTCCCTTCGATCGAAGCTGCTGATTCTCCCGATTTGAAAACGCAAACCCACAGGTGTCCCATGGAATGCCTCTGCCAAATGGTGGTTTCCCTTGTGTGACACGGCATACGGGATCCCGGCACGGTAGTGGAGTTCGGCTCGGGATTGCCATTTGGCCCACGAACAGTGGCCGGACATGAATCTTCACTGAGGGGTCCTATTGGCCCAGGAAAGACTCAACTATTCAAGTTGAACCCGGTGCCCAGTCATACATAGGTGAAATTGGCTTTCCTCGAGGGTCGGGTTGTTGGAAAGGTAAACCCCGGCGAATGTGTTGCAGAACCATGTCGGTTGGGTTTCCTTAGGACCAAACCAGGGCATTTCTTTTCAGGTGGTGTTCACAGTACCGCCACTAAATCGTTGTGGGACCCGGGGGGCCATGGGTCCCAAGCGCCCGTCGTCCAGGAAGCCCTGCGCAGGCTCCTTTTTGGGAGGCTGGGTCCCCCAGTACCAGTAGTGCCCTTTTACCCTTTTCTGGGGTTGGGTTCCCCCAGGTAGTGCTGACTTCTACCGTTTCTTTTTTGGGGGAGGGTTCCCCTACTAAAATAGACTACAAAGAAACAAGTTGGTACCCTTATTCTAACTTACCTCTTAAAAACACCACTTGTCAACTTTTTGGGGGTAACATGGGCTATATGTTTGTAAAAGATGAGAACTTCCCTAGGGCGCAGGGAGTTTTAAGGGGTAAGCGAACCTGTCAAATCTGGAGGACCTAGGGCTGTCTGCGGCCGCGTCTCGGAGCCTCGCAGCCCTCGCGGCCAGGAGAAGTTCCCAGACCTGCGTCCGCCGGAGCGCAGCCGGGAGAAGCCTCTCAGCAGCAGCAGCAGCTCCCTGCAGGCGGCCGAATTTCACTGGCCCCCCTTTGTCCCTTTTTTTGGGTGGCTGCCCCACTAAACTGGTCCAAGCCCCAGACTAGGTCCCCCAGTGATTGGTGCCAACTTTTACCGTTTGTTTGTTGGGGGAGGGTTCAACCCTATTAAAATAGACTACAGGGAAAAAGTTGGTACCCTGATTCTACGTAACCTCTCTACTGGAGGACCTAGTCAATCAATCCCAGTTTATTAACAGGGGGGCGTTCCCCTCCAAAAGTGATGATTCCCCACTAAACCCAAAAACACCCCCCTATTAATATAAAGTGGGGTTGATGAATATGGGCTCAACATTATGAGGGCGTTCTTTAAGGGATTCCGCTTGCGGCTCATTCCCCAATTTGTTGGCTCATTCCCTAGTGAGCACCTGCCAGTTAGTCGTGGTGCTTCCAGTTGCAGAAGCAGGAAGCCAGCTCTCCCCCAAGAAGTTTAAACTGGATGAAGAAAACCACTTGTAAATTGACAGAGGCGGTTCTGCATAAACACCTGTTTGCATATTTTGGGTCCAACTTGTAAATGTCCAGCTCTTCTCCCCCCAAGAAGTTTAAGCTGGATGAAGAAAACCACTTGTAAATTTGGATTCACCTCAAAAACTCAAAAATCAACACCCCCCCGAGATGGATGTCAGTTTTGATTTTGGTTTCCCAGATCAACCTGAAAGGGGTACCCTTAAACTGTCGCAAGCCCTGTAGAGGACAATCATTAAACACATTTTAGCAAGCGGCAAATTTTTGCCGGACCGCGAAACGTCCTTTTGATAAGCAGACCCACCCGCGACTTTGTCGCACGACTGCACACGTGCTCGGAACATGTGCAAACCCGCTCAGGTAGTACGTCGCACGCCTGCGCACATGCCAGTATGATAAGCACACCCCATTCACGCACCCGCGCATGCACTAGGTCGCTGCGCACATGCCTGGTCCATGACAAGCGCAGCCGCTCACGCACTAAGTGGCACGCCTGCGCACATGCCTGGCACATGATAAGGACCCGCTCATGCACTACGTCGCACGGCTGCACACAAACCCACACACACACATGGTACATGCTTGGCACGTGATGGTCACACCTGCTCACGCACTATGTCGCATTCCCGCTCGAACACGTCAGTTTGTTCTTTTTTGAGCTCCAAACACTTTCAGCCGTGACCTGCAAAAGCAGGACCGTTTTTGTTGGCTACGGAAATGTCATCAGCAAATTCCTAGGTTTGACGTCAATCTCGGGCCGGTAACTGCAGTCCAAATCTTTGAGCCTGTGAAAGTTCAAATTTGAGCTTTTGACTTTTGTTTGAGCTTGCTCCAAGTGAAGGTTCGCCACTTTGTGTATAAGCAGATACTCAGATACCCTAAGCCCTTTGAACCCTCCAAAGAACCTCCAAGGGTTCCAAACTCTTAGAAGCTGCTGCACATTCCAAAGCTCTTGAAGCCTTGTTGAAACATACGTCGTATGTTTCCCTGTTGCCTTTAAAGGGAATCTATCACTGGTAATATGTTCTCCAGGAGGCGAAAAAGCTCATGGAAAATACAGGAAGGACTGCGATTGATTTGTATTCTTGGTGGTTCTGCGCCATCCGGTTCCTTAGGTTTTTTGTGGTTGGGTGTCCGAATTTAAGTTCCACTGAAAGTTAGTGACTTGCGGCAAATCAGAAAACGGACCGCCCAGTATGGATCTGAGCAAACGGCGAGGGAACTGCAGGGGGACTCTCCCCGAGTTGCCACAGTCGCAGGTGTGGGGCCTTTTGATTCTTTACCATGGATAGAGCCCTTTAGTACCACTCACTTCCTGAGTTCCTGGACTTTAGTCACTTTTTGGGTTTGGACTATTTGATGGCAAACAGAAAGTTTGGATTTGTGTTTTGGCCATTCCACTCAGGAGTGAGGTGTCGATTGTCCCTGTCATGACATGATTCGGCAGCATCGCATCAGAACTTGTGCATTGGCCCAGTTTTGGTGGCGACCGAAAGCCATTGAACTTATGGGCCACCTGGCCATGGACCCCGATCTAAAGAGTGCTTCGCAAATGACCATGTGACCCCAGATTCCCGATCGATGGCCACAGTTGCCCCGGTGGTGCCGATTCCTTTAAAGTCAAGCAACCAAAAAAGGATGCCGATTTTTTCCCCATCAAAATCCACTGGGCATCTGCGTGAAGGCTCGGGAAGTTTCTTGCCGCGAAGCATCTCGTGGAACGGCCAGGGGAAGTCCGACTGACTGTGAGAGCGGTTCGTGAGCGGATCTTTCCAGCGGCTGGGGGAAGTCATCAGAAGCGACTGGAGATGTCTACTTGCTGGCATTGTGTGTCTAAGGTACCGCCTTTAGGTGTTTGTTGTAGAGGGAGATCAAAAGCAAACCAAGCAAACCAACCATTCAAGGTGTTCCCCTATTTTGGCACAAACCAATTTGTTTGTTTGATAACTTGACTTGCTGGAGATAGTCATGACTCTTCTCATAGTGTCGCCAGCAGATGCAAGTTCATGTCGTGAAACTTGCGCTGTTGCGGGTCTTACCTTTCAGTACAGGGGTCGCTATGATTTTCCTTTGAAGTCGGTGTAAGCATCGCTTTGTGGCCCAATTTGGGTTGCAGTTCCCCTTGGTCATTCTTAATGTTCGGGCTGCTTCAGGGGTCTCTTTGCAGCAAGACCTGGTCTGGTTTCGACTTCCACATGCCTTTAGTATTGCCAGGATTGACTCTCATTCCTTTGTTGCATTTTGCTTGGCTGTTTGGACTTTAACTTTTTGCCAACTCATGGGTTTTCCATTAAACCACTAAAAGTTAAACTTTTAGCAGGGGTGCAGAAAGCAACCGAGATTCCCAGTACGTAATTTAGTATGTCCAATTATTTAAAGTCAAAGGCGAAGGTTTTGATCTGGGAATTTCCCCAACCCCAACAAAAGTTGAACATGAAAGCAACCTCAAAACAGTCACATTAAACATAATCAGGGCCTCTTGCGGGCAATCCCCTTTGTGCGACTGGTTGGCCTTACTTTCTTTGTAAAAAGAAGTTATCTTCAGTTTGATAGTTTGGGGACCACTTCAAGCAAGAAAACTCCCACTGTTTTCACGGATTTGTTCTTCTGATTTCTGTTTCCCGATTTTTTGCCCGATTTTTGTTGGCTGGATTTGTTTCCGGCAAACAACATGTTATTAAGGCGACCCTTCAAACAGTCTGATTCATGTTGTTTCGTTATATCCGCGATCTCAGATCTTAAAGCGGCCCTGACATTAATGGGGAAGTCTAGAGAAGGATCTGCTTCAACCTGCGTAGATGTGTTAGTGCTTGTCCTGTATGTTTGAAGGCGCAGGCAGTTGTAAGCCTTGCTGGAATAAGCTCAGGTGGTTTAGTGAAAGCACTGGGGGTGCAAGTACCGAGTTGTTTGCTACCTGGTCCCAGCCAGAGCGGTCTAGCCAGCTGCACTGCGAGTCAAATGTCAGCCACTGGTTTGATTCAGAGATCGTTTCACCACGTTAACGCCATGGTCGGATTTCGACGCGGATCGGATTCGGTTTGTCACACATGTCTCCGGTGTCGCTTTGCCCTTTTAGGCGTTCATTTCGTTGTTCATTCCCGGATGATCGAACCAAGCAAGTAAAGTCTAAAAACACTCGGCGCAAAAGGTTCCAAAGTGAGAGAATGACGAAAGGAGTCGGACCAGTGCTCCGGTTCATCTCCCGAAGTTTCACCCTGCTGGCGGAGAGTCGGAAGCGGGATCCAACTTCTTAGCAGGTGGTTCAACCCGCCATGAACGTTCAACTTAGGGTTGTAGTTGGTTTTTGGTCACTTTTAGCAGAAAACGGACACAGAATTAGCATGGGCCCCCCTTTTCCAGGTCCAAGCGCAACTGATTCGTGGTTTGCCTTTTCCGTTTGAATCAATTTCTCAGCCCCGCGCATGTAGAAGCTGTAATAGCACTAGGTCCCCCAGCTAGGTGCCCCTTTACCCTTTTTTTGGGGAGGGTTCCCCTACCAAAATAGACGAAACAGAAAAAGTCGGTACCCTTATCCCAATCTCTCAAATCTGGAGGACCTCGTGTAAAACCAAGGGAGGTCCATGTCAGTGGAAAGGGCACACCCGGACATATCCAATTCCTTAGCTTGTAGCCTGTTAGTGTTTGGTGGTTGGATTTCCGAATTTACACCACGAAAAGTTAATGGAAAATTTCCCCAACTTTTCCTTTAAATGGTTGGGGATTTCCTTTTAGCAGATCTGCAAACGGGCCCAGGTGTGGAATGTCGCGCAATTCCCAACGTGGAGACTCGCCTCAGAGCCGCACGAAGCCTGGCGAAGGGGAAAAGCGGCAGAAAAGCGGAGCCTCAGCCCAAAATGGATGGGGATGTTCGCTGGGGGTACGGGGGCTTTTGACCCATGGCCAAAATCAAAACCAGGGCATCGGGGAAGTGGGGAACATCCCCCACCCTAAACAGCAATTTGCCGAAATGAATATGTTGTATTTCCCTTTTTGGTTTTAGCATGCCAACTGGTGGAAAGAACCCAGGTAGTGGATTCTCACTTAAGATTCGAGGCCGAGCCTCGAGTTTCAGATTGAAGTGAGCTGTGTTTGTGAGGCATGCCTCACTTCCTGAGTTCCTGGAGTTTAGACTTTTCGGGTAGAGCAGTTTAGCGGGAAAACAAAAAGGAAGTCTTTTGTGTTTGGCCAATCCAGTGAGATGCTGAGCTTCCGCTCATCTTTTGTGGCGATGGTGTGAATTGGTTCTTCCGCAGCTGTGACTTCATAGGTCCGAGCGGCCCGGAAAGATGGGAACGTCTGGTTACTTCCCTTTTGGCTCTGGCCCCTTTACTCCACTCTGGAGAGTTCAAACGACAACCTCCGGTAGAGTTCAAAAGACCAGACAACCTCCGGTTTTGAAGAGTCTCGCCGTTTCTTCGTTTCGGGGGGAAAAAACACCGGGAGTTGGCACACCATGAGAACCGATCTCCTCGTGAAGGGCCAGTCGGAAGTGAGAGGTGAA